ACACTATATTGGGCTCGATTTTTTGTCGAGTTGGCTCATTGAGTTCCGAGCCGGCACACCTCATTTACCATCTCTAGTTTCGAATCAGAAATCTTCTAAATCGCGGGCCTTACATTTTGGGCCTAACACTAAACATTCTGCCAATAATGTCACCCAAATTGTGGGCCTTATGTGTGCAAAATTTTTAATGTTAGGCCCAAACTTAAATCATAATTTGCTTCATAGTGTTTCTGTGGTCTGGGCCTAAGCCATTCAAATCCCGTCTCGGATTTAATTCGTTGAGTTTAGATTTTGAGAAGTTTTAAATTTATAACACAAAAACAAATATATTTAATAGAGTTTTTAAATTAATGAAAATGTAGGAGCTGGCAAATTTATTTTATTTGGTTGATACGAAATTAATGGTCTTAATTAATGTTGGATCTGCCAAATGTACCAACTTGGTACAAGCCTATTACGGCTAATTACTGCAGACCCAATAACTAAATTCAGGCCAGTATAGTCGGGCCGACTGATTGCGGGAAAATAGCGTTATGTACAACCCGATTACTATTAATCGCATATTCAGTTCTATTAGGGCTCGTTCGATTACTGTTATAACTTATAAGGTTCTACTAAATTCAAAGTTCGTTATTAAATACTACTATTTCATTAAATTAGTAGAACCTCTCCCTCTGAAATTAATTTAATAGGGGTGACTACAAAGGAAAAATATCATTTTATCCTTAAAATTATATTTTATTATTATAAACTCAGTGATTTTATTGACAATTTATATATAATAACAGATTTTAACAAATTTAATAGAAAATCTAATTTAAGAAACTGAACATGCTACTAACTAAATAATTAATTAGTCAGTAGGCAGTTAATCCAATCTCATGTAATCCAATCCAATCTAATCCAATATAGGTTACCGAACGAGCCCTTAATATATTTCACATTTTAATAATATATATATATATATATATATATATATATAATCACAATATGGCATGTAATTAAACTCAACAATCATAAATAAAATATATAACATGTAATATTATGAATTTGAATTTTGAATTTTGCATTTTTAATAAACGATACCCAGCTGTCTCTGTCAACTACCACCAACTAATTAATTTCCTCACACAATAAATTCCACCCTATCCTGCTGGCATTGTTCTCCCCACGTACACCCAACCAAGGTCATTTCCGTAACTTCACCTCACACGTCTCTTCACCTATATAAACCTACTACCGTCTCTCACCCTTTCTCTCTCCTCACAAAAAAAAAACACCCCCAAACTCCACCGCGAAGATCGGCCAACAAAAAATCAGAAAAAAATCTATCTTCACCCCCCCGCCCCCCGCCGCCGTAATGTCGTCCCAGCAAATCGCATCCCACCGCGAAAACGCCGAAGTCTACACCGGCGACGCCGTGTGCAAGCAGAAGTCACTGGAGCTGCTGGAGAAAATCAACATGCCCAAAGGCCTCCTCCCACTCGAAGACCTAATTGAGGTAGGGCACAACGAGGCCACCGGATTCGTGTGGCTGAAGCAGAAGAAGAGCAAGACGCACGTGTTCCGCGCAATCGGCCGGAGCGTCTGGTACGACACTGAGGTCACGGCGTTCGTCGAGGACCGTCGGATGAAACGCCTCACTGGCGTCAAGAGCAAGGAGATCCTGATCTGGGTCACCATCTCCGATATCTCCATTCAAGACCCTGCTTCCGGCAAATTACCTTCGGTACCCCTACTGGACTCTCCAGAACTTTTCCTGTCTCGGCGTTTGAGGAGAAGAATTGAATTATT